AAAAATTCACTCATCATAAATACAAGTACTATCACCTGATTAAGAACAGAAGTTACAAAGAACATACCCCCATTATATGGTAAAAATTCACTCATCATAAATACAAGTACTATCACCTGATTAAGAACAGAAGTTACAAAGAACATACCCCCATTATATGGTAAAAATTCACTCATCATAAATACAAGTACTATCACCTGATTAAGAACAGAAGTTACCTCAAACCTACTAGTTTCTAAAAAGTGTTTATAAATATATATCAATAAACTGGAGAAAGACTTAAAAAAATACAAAGACAAAAGAGGGATGTGATGTCGAAGTAAACTACATGAAATTAAAATTAAACAATGACTAAAATGTGCAAACAAATGATGCAAAATTGCGAATAAAACTATAATAAACAGCATAAATAAACCAAAAGATGTTGACAAAGAGGATGCAGTCAGTGTTTTAACACTAAACTGTGTCATAATTCACTTTTGGAGATTTAAAATTTTAAAATTTTTTTTATTTATTTAAACAAGTCAAAGTTATCAAAAACAACAACTGTTCTCATTTTCAATTTCAAAGCGGAACTAAATTTACAGTTTCTGCCAGAGCGTCACGGCAGATCCAAACAGAGCACTGACAGTATCAGCTTTGCTCCTCGCTCTGGTTTCTAGGCAGAGTTTTTAAGTATCGACAATAAACATGTCTTCGGTTCAGCATAACAGAGCGTTTATTAATGAGCAGGAAACTGATGCTGAGGAAGGATTCCCTGAGTTTAAAGAAATCATCGTCAAGTCTGAAGAAGAGGTCGACGGTAAGCCCTGACTGCTGCATTCCACACGGATAAATATGGAAAAAAGGAAACATCGGGAATAATTTGTTTGTATTCTTTAGGGAAATATGCTCAAATGATGAACGAAGCTTCAAGTCTAGTTTGTAAAACGCTATTTAATCACGTAAGTGCGAGTTCGGGCCCATTCGTAACGTGTAAGCCAGCCCCCATTCCTAGAAAACATGGTAAAGCCCCCAGACATGGAAGAGCGGCCGCCACATTGGCTATGTTGTCCAGGAGAAACGACACGTAATCGCGTCCGCCATATTGTGAGAGGCAAGTAGCACCCTCACTATTGAGTTTCA